AAACGTCTCCTATGAGTTGTGCATGAAGAAATATGGAGGGACTTTGAGCCCCTCGGGGATGTAGAAATCTTCAGGCTACGAGACGCTCGTAGCAACCTGAAGGTTGGCTTCTTGGAAGGAAGGTACCTCTTTCTCGACCTTTTGGGATTCTTGGGCGTCTGGTCGAGGAACATCCTTTAGTTTGGAGAACTGCTTCAGATTTCTGTCCCTGATGAGGATCTCTATGGCATCTTTCAGGTGGATGCTTTCTTCAGTCATATGGTCGTGGCTTTTGTGGAACCGACAATATTTAGACTTATCACTGTTGGGTTTGAATGGTATATGCTTTGGGAACCAGACTCCCGCCTGCTGGAATTTTGAGTTGACGCACTCAGTGATGATCTTTTTCCTTGAAACTGTCAGGGGAGTGTACTCGTGGAACCGGATGGAGGATATTTTGTTGTCCCGAAGCTCACGGGGATGGTTTTCTCGCTTTTTATCTCCCTGGTGGGATGTAGAGGGCTCGTTGGACCTCGAGGGTCAGGCATTCTCCTTGTTCCTGGAATCACGGGAAGAGCTGGAAGCCTCCTTCTCTTTGTTCTGAATGTATGCTTGTGCTTTAAGGAGGAAGGCATCCAACATTGTCGGGGGCCGGATGCCTACGACTTTAGCAAATTCGGTGCGGGGACAAAGTCTGCGTTCGAGCATAAACTTTTTCATGTCATCGGTTGTAGAAACTTGGACAACCTCCTTGTTAAACCTTTCGATGTAGGCTTCCAGGGGCTCATCTCTCCCTTGAATGACCGCCTTAAGGGAGGCTTCGGTCTTTGAATTTCGACGAGAGGCCATGAAGTGTTTAGAGAACAGTCTCCCCAATTGTCTCCATGAGGTGATGGAGTCACCAGGAAGTCCATTGTACCAGGTCATCACCCCCTTCCTAAGTGTGGTCGGGAATAAACTGCATTTGATAGCTCCCTGGATGCTGCAGTAGTCGAGCATCGCATTGATAGTTTCGATGTGCTCGTCAGAGTCTGTTGTTCTGTCGTATGTGCCCAGATTGGTGGGTTTCTCTAGTCCCTTCGGTAGACGCATAACCATAATCTCCTAGGATAATAGGCCATGAGGCTCGTCATCACTGCTGTTGTTGGTCCAAGACGGGGAGCGGGCGTCCCATCTGTATGTAGGATGACGGTTTCATCGAGGATACGGGATTCGTGCTCGACCCTTGGATCTGGGTGGAGGCGAACATTGGGATTCTTCCCGGTGGCCTCTTCTGGTCCTCTTGGGTTGTGGGAAATACTGGTTCCGTGGAGAGATGTGGTCGCGTTTGGGGATGGTCAGGGTCTCTGGCTCCGGAGGTGTCTGACGGTTCCTCTCGCGCCGGGGAGGGGGACTTTGTGGTCGTTGACGCTCCTTCCTTGGTGGAGGGGATCTTGGACGACTTGACTCTTCTAGTGCTCCAATCCTCGCATTCTGGTTGTGGATTAAGAGGTTGGTCTTGTTGAGAACCTCGAGGAGGGCCACCATGGCGGGGTCGACGCTAGGCGTAACTAGGACTAGCAAGTGATACGGGATGAGCGAAACTTCATTGTGATCTGTACGAACATGGGATGGAAAAGTTCTGGCTCCGCTCTTTTGTCAGAGGATGTCGCCGCCACGAGAAGTGGTGGCTCCATCAGCGTCAGTCTTGCTGACGGGGAGGAAAGTAGAGTTGTAAGCATCAAGAGTGTTATCATGGTTGGCCATGATCGAGATTTTGAAGATTTGTTTTGGTCTCGTGTCTATGAAAAGAGAAAAGAAGGGGATAACAAGATTCCCACAGACGGCGCCACTGATCTTATCGGTTGATCAGAACCTGAGGTGAGCCAAAGACAATCGTCTGTGATGCTGGGTGTGAAAGAGGAAGAGGGGGTGTACCTGCAAGACACTCTGATGTTAAAGTAGAAAACGAGCAAGAGAGAGAGAGAGAGAGAGAGAGAGAGAGAGAGAGAGAGAGAGAGAGAGAGAGAGAGAAAATACAAAATATGAGTATATCAGAGTGAATATTGGATACCTGACCCTCTCGTATGAGAGGGTTTTTATAATACCCTAAACGCTTGGCCATTGGTCCCTATTTTCGGATGTGATAACCGTTTTCGAAGAATAGATAACTGCCAAAACTAGCCGTTGTAACGGGCAGACGTGCCCGTAACTAGTCGTTTTGGCTTGGCTGTTTCTAGATGGTGGGACCGTGCGTGACAGGTAGAGACTGACGAGGAGATATGTTGTGACCAATGGTAAATTGGCCAGCCTTCCCTATTGGGGGGATTGGGCAGAAAGGTAAATTCTCCTCCAAGTGGTTGGACTTGGGCAATTGAGTCGTTTTGGGAGCAGAAGTGGACTGGGCCATGCCTAGCCATTGGGCTAGTCCGAAACACAACACACACACACACACACACACACACACACACACACCAGGTTATAAGACCTCGATATTTAGTGGCTGGGGTAAAAGCTTCGTAACTAAATGTATTATTTTTAGTAGTGCTCCCTATTTGAATACATGACTTGTTCCATAGATCCACAACATGATTTTGTCTATTAGATTCGACATATTCCGTACACTTCATACTAACATTTTTGAAATATGGAACAAACACAATATGAATTAAGGATGGGAACACAACGTTCGTGACATTCATCAACACAAGTTCCCGTCCATAAGCTTTGGTAGCAACTTCTCGGATGCGAACAACTCTTTTAGCTTCTCTAGTGCTTATGTGAAATTTTCATCCCTTTCATGATCCAAATAGGAAAATTCAATCGAAAACGCCAACTTCGTTTATGTAACACCAACAATCTCAAGTAATGGGAGTCGATACCTGTTTGTTATGTATGTATTATCAATAATCAACACAATATGAAATTTATTCAACAACTTTCTAGAATCATATAAAGGAAATGTTACATTTTTGGGAAAGACAACACTTGTTTGATTTGTATGTGCGATAAAAAACCAACACCAAATGAAACATGCTTAACAACTTCACAGAATCAGGATGTGTCCAAAAGATATCAGTAACAACATTTGATTCGTCCCTATTTCTGAACTAGTACATATATTTCTAATCACGAATTAGACTTAATAGTTGTTGCATTTCAGTAAATATATTTCCCTTTCTCGCCTTCTATATAGATCTTGCCTTATACACAAGCATAACGCTCGTCAGATTTTCTGGATCTTTATCTTTCAAAGCAACAACTATGTACTTGAAATTCATATTTTATTTTGTTATGTCATTCACAAACTGTTTTTTATTATGTCATTCACAAACTGTCTTTTATCATGTTTTAAACGGCCTAATATGTCACGACCATCTAAAGTTGTAGCTAGTTCATGATTGTGAATTCCACACTTAATTGCCACCTTCCAACCGATACCACTTGACAAAGATCTCAATATAAATGGACATTTAACTTCCATACTAGAAGTTCCTTGAGAGAAATTCTTCTTCTCGTAGTTTCCTCCCCTATCACAACCCATAATAAATTTATCCTTCCTTCTCTAATCCTATTTATGGTATCAGAACGAATAGTAACAATAATAAACCATATTCTTTAACCAATCGATTGTGCCCATGCTAACACGTCAATCCGAGAAGGAAATATTTGTCATTACAACATATAAATAATGAGTTATTTATACCAAAGATACCCGAAACCTATTAAATTTTGCACAATTTAAAAATAAAATACTCAAGTAAAACATACAACTTCAGTGGTGTAGAACTGAATAAATTTTGTAGAGGAACAATTCATCTCAGGAACGCACAAATAAAGCATTTTGAATTGTACTATCAAAATTTTCACATTGAACTAAAAATCCGTTATACAAATTTTTTTACAATATACCAGAATTTTGCTGCTTCCCAATTTATTTAGAAAATCTAATAAAAACTTATACCAATTTTTTAAAAATACTGTAAAAGTGCAAAATTTTCACCAATTCTAAAAAATTTGTATCAAAAGTTTTGCTACAACTACTGAATATTTTAAAATTTACAACTTTGTTCAGAGTGAAATATTTTTACCAACTATAATTTAGGGAAATATAAATAATGAGAATAACATTTTGGTCAATACAAAAATAAGGAGAACTACCAGGTATACCAGGAGGGATGGCAGGACAAAAATCTCCATTTATTTTGAATGTTTTTTTATTTTAGAAAACCATATTCACTCAATAGCCTGACCCAACACATCTTTTTAGATTAATTTGAATTAATTTAGTCAGGTTTGTTGGTTTTATGAAAGCCATGTACATTCCTATAATTTAGGCTATGAAGAGGTTCTATACATATTATTAGACTATAAAACACTGGACATTAAATCAAAATATCTTAAATTGTTAAATTATAATAATATTTTAAAAATAAAAATGTGATGCGGTGGAATACGCGTTTTTATTGAAAATTTTACAATGTTATTTTCTCTTATTATAATATAACTTTATTTTATTTTATACTTTATTTTTATTATTAGTTAATGTTTTTTGTACATGTATATCATTTAACTTTATAATGGTCAAAAAAAATTCTCCAATTTTAATATAAATAATAATGTGGATGCATTAACTTTTTTGATATTCACTCCATTTTTGTAAAACAAACTTTTATAACTTATTTCATTTTTGGTAAAAATGCAAATCTTCCAATCTATCCAATTATATTCTATGTATATACAACATTAAGTAGACATATACATCACCCTTAAAAACCTTAGTTGTTAATTAAGCAATTTTAATTCTTTTATTTATATAAAAAGAAAAACATGGTACCAAAAATTCAAAGCATGTCATCCATCTTTCAATTTCAGTTGCATATATAAACAAAATTGGTTGGGTCGGTTACAGAGTGTCTTCTTAAGTCTTAACTAACGTAGTACAGCTACCTTAACTAATTTTTGTGTTGTTCTGTTTTTGATATATGGATTGTTCTGAATTCTGAACTATAGTGTTGATTGTTTTGTTTGATTTTGATTGAATGATGGCTCTTGATTTTGCTACTACATTCATATTGGGTTCTTGTTCCAAACCACAATTGGGTTCTTTTCATTCTGAGTTGGTTATTGTTAATCTGAGATATGAATCTGTGAACAAATGTAGTTGTTTTAGTGTTTCAGCTCATCACAGAGCTACCATTCCTGTTGAAGATCAAAAGCCCTTGCTTCATTCTGCTTATCAGAATCACTCCAAGGGCTTTCACAGAGACATCAACATGCTTCCCAGTGAGTTGTTATTCTGACCATTGTTCTTTTCATTTGCTATCTCTTTGATCTATAATATCATATCATTGATATGATTTTTGGTTTTCTGTAGCATGATGATGTAAATTGTATAATTGTTGCAGAGCCGTTAATGTCAGTTGATGATTCTTCTTCTGCCAGTGATGGATCAAAGGTGCGCGTGGGTTATCAGGTATCGTGCGTAAGCGTTTCTATTTACTATTCATCTGAAATATTCATGACAGTGTTTCTTGTGCTGCTAACGAATCATTTGTTCGATATAGGGAGTGCCAGGAGCTTATAGTGAGGATGCAGCTTTGAAAGCGTATCCAAATTGTGAGACTGTGCCATGTGACGATTACGAAGCTGCATTTAAGGTTCCATTATTCAATCTATGACTTGCTTGACGCTTTAGTTTATGAATTATAACTGCTGTATTGATAGATTTGGATTCTACCTGTAGGCGGTTGAACTGTGGTTGGTTGATAAAGCGGTTCTACCGATTGAAAATTCTGTGGATGGAAGCATCCACCGCAATTATGACTTACTTCTTCGACATAGATTGCACATTGTTGGTGAGGTGCAGCAGCGTGTTGACCATTGCCTCTTAGGATTGCCTGGTGTGACAAAGGAGGAGCTCAACAGTGTTATGAGTCATCCTCAGGTTGATTGGTTATCATGTGTATCTTGTATAATTTTTTTTTCTTCCATTTTGATTAAGAATGAATGAAGATGATACATTATGTTTCCTATTCAAATACGCCGAATAGATATGCTTTAAAATTTGCAGTGATTTCACTTTAATACAATTTATCAGAGATTGCATCAACCGTATTTACTGTCAGTTATTAAGTGATTATTTCTCAATGGAATCGAATTTATTGGCTTATCTAAATATGCCAATTTTCAGGTGTTAATCTGGTTTATGATTTGCGCAGACTCCTTAGACTGCAAACTGTATCTCTAGAATATGCTTACAGGTTGACAACGATAACCGATCTTTTTCGTATTCAGGCTCTTGCTCAATGTAGGACGTTGCTCAATGATTTAGGTGTTGACAAAGTTGGTGAGCAGGATTCTGCTGTTGCTGCAAAGGTATATTATGAATTTTCTTTGCGTGAAAATATGTATCGACTAGTTTGTAGAGTGACATGTCATAACTAATAAGATTTTGTGGACAGACAGTGGCCATAAATTGTGTAAGACACGCTGGAGCTATTGCAAGTTCTCGAGCTGCAGAGATATATGGCCTGGACATTCTAGCTGAAGGAATTCAGGTAATACTTCATTTATACTTTTTCGAAGATTTAGCTGCTAAAACATATCTGTGTTATCTGGTCTAATACAAGATTAAAGTTGAGCTGTGTTTTGCTATCTTTATAGGATGATGATGAAAACGTTACCCGTTTCTTGGTCCTTTCGAGGGAGCCTAGAATTCCAGGAACTGACGAGCCCCATAAGGTATACAAGTTGTATTTTATTACTTGTTACATTTTGGCATATGCTGACAGGTTTGTGATTTTTTTTTCAGACTAGTGTTGTTTTCGGTTTAGATGAAGGTCCAGGTGCACTATTCAAAGCTCTCTCAGTGTTTTCTATGAGGGATATTAATTTGTCAAAGGCGAGTTGATTAGTTGATGTTGAGGTTTTAAAATTGAAATACACGCTCAACCATTGCTCTAACTTTTTCACTATGTTTTATTTCAGATAGAGAGTCGTCCGCTGAAGCAGCGTCCCTTAAGAATTGTTGATGATTCAAATCATAGGAGTTCCAAGTGAGTTGCTTTGTTCCTTATTTGAGAATTTTATAAAAAATTTCAATTTTCAATTTATGAAGCACTGACTCCAACACGGACACCTAACAAGACACAAACATGTCTTTTGGTTTATCTTCATTCCTTCTGGTATTTTACATGGAAGTTTACTGTAAAACTATAATTTGGAAATGAACATTTTCTGGTGACAGACACTTTGACTACCTCTTTTACATCGATTTTGAAGCATCAATGGCAGAACCTCGAGCACAAAATGCTTTAGGACAGTTGCAGGTCCGTCGATTATCATCTCTAACTTGTATGTCACATTATCTCTTCTTAATAGTTTTTTCCTCACTTGCTCGACCCAATTTATTCCACAATGATGTTAGGAAAGCCGCATCATTGTGATTTTTTTCCAAACAGCATCCCAGTTAGAAAATTTTCTTCCATATGATTTGCACATTACATTATTAAACTTCCCTTTGCAGCAAATAAATGAATCCACACATAATCACAAAACCCTTGTCTAGTCGTCACTATGTTTTCATTTACTAGAAGTTTTAGATTTCTTTAGTAACTTCAACAGTATATTAAGCGTTGATATCAGAAGCTATCTCGACTTGTTGGTAACATCTTTTTGGCATTTACATTTCAGGAAGTTGCGAGTTTTCTTCGAGTTCTTGGTAGTTATCCAAGGGATACACATGTATAAAAGTTCTTCAACGCCTTTAAAGTATAGCTAGGAGCAACCGAAGACACTGTTTGTTTTACTGACCGCAAGAGCGGCCAGGCTACAACCGGAGTTAGAGGAAGATGCAGCTGGTTCTAGATTATTTAGATCTCCTAAGAAGTTTTGTCATAGTTTACCCTAGGATGAATGCCATCCAATTTTCATTTGCGCAAAACGCCGTTATAGTTCAAAGTTATAAATAAATCAAAGAAACTGCAGACTCTTGGGCACTGTCTTAGAGCCTCCTTTAAAAGAGTGTCAATATCTCCAATTATATTAGTTGGCCTTCCTTCAAATTTTTGAGGGAGAAACTTGTTATCTTCTATTTTAATATTTGATATACTTTTTATATGAATATTTTCTAACCTTATAATGGTAAAATAAAATCTCGTATTTTAATAAAAATAATATTGTGAATGCATTAACTATTTTGTTATTCATTACATTTTTCTTGAAATTTTTATACTACATTGCTTTAACTCATTTTATTTTTGGTTTGTTCAAAATACAATTCTGATTTATGTATGGTTCTGAACTCTGAACTATAGTGTAGATTGTTTTTGTTTGATTTTGTTATTCATAAGGGTACTACTACTACATTCATATTGGGTTGTTGTTCCAATTCTGCTTATCAGACAGTGGACTGGAGCTATTGCAAGTTCCCGAGCTTCCGATATATATGGCCTGTGGTCATTCTTGCTGAAGGAATTCAGGTAATACTTCACGTATACGTTTTCGATGATTGAGCTGCTATAGAACATTGCCTTAACTTATGTAATAATATGTTTTGCTATCTTCATAGGATGATGATGAAAACGTTACCCGTTTCTTGGTCCTTGCGAGGGAGCCTAGAATTCCAGGAACTTACAGGGCCTCATAAGGTATAAGTTATATTAAATTACTTGTTACTTTTTGAATTTGCTGACAGGTTCGTGATTTTTCTTCAGACTTGCGTTGTTTTCAGTTTAGAAGCAGGTCCAGGGGCACTATTCAAAGCTCTGTCAGTGTTTTCTATCAAGAATATTAATTTGTCAGGCGAGTTGATTAATTGATGTTTTAACTTTTGAAACTAAAACACGCATTGAATCATTGATCTAACTTTTTCACTATTTTCTATTGATCTAACTTTTTCACTATTTTCTATTTCAGATAGAGAGTCGTCCGCTGAAGCAGCGTCTCTTAAAAATTGTTGATGATTCAAATCATGGAAGTTCCAAGTGAGTTGCTTTGTTCTGTATTTCAGATTTTTCATAGTTGAATTTAGTGTGTAAAACTATTTTTTGGTGACACTTGTTTCAGTTTTCCAGCACGTGTCGTTGAAGTGTCATACAAGTGTCGGACACTGCGACACGTCTGTTTAAAGATAGCCTTTAATTCTAGAGATGTCAGTACTTCAAAGGTTTAAAATGGCTTATACCTGACCAATTTTCAGTTCAAGACTAATAAAGATGAAGTCTTTTTCCATCAATTTTAAACCTGATGCTTTTAATGTTATCTCGTTATTAGTGACCAAGTTGGTTGGTGCGACAAAGGAGGAGCTCAACGGTGTTCTGAGTCATCCTCTGGTTGGTTGGTAGTCATGTATCATGTATATATATTTTTTGTTCCATTTTGATTTTGAATGAATGGATATACGCATTAAAATTCGCAGTGACTTCACTTTAATATGTCGGTTATTTAGTGATTATTTCTCAATTGAATCTATTGACTTATTTAAACATGCCAGTTTTCAGGTGTTAATCTAGTTTATGATTTGCACAGACTCATGAGACTTTAAACTGTATCTCTAGAATATGCTTGCATGTTTACAACGAATAACCAATCTTTTCATGACACGCATAAGTTTCATTAGAAGTCAGTTCGACCATTATGTTTACTTTAGATTTCGACCTGGTAATTCATTTGTTATTCTATTGCTTTATGTGAATGATATTCTAATAGCAAGCAACAATGTCGAAGATGCAATGAGGGTGAGGTTGAACTCAATAAGGAGTTTGACATGAAGGATCTGGGAGTTGCGTCCAGGATTATTGGGATTGACATCCGAAGAGATAGAAAGCAGTTGAAATTATGCTTATCTCAAAAGGCATACCTACGGAAGATTCTCAAAAAGTTTAATATGTCGAGTTCAAAATCTATTGTGACTTCGACAAACCCTCAATTCAAACTGAGTATAGATCAATGTCCCAGTACTGATGTCGAAAGAGCTTATATGAATAACATTTCATATGCTAATATATTGGGTTCTTTGGTGTATGTTATGGTCTGTACTAGACCCGACATAACATATGCAATAAGTCTTGTAAGCAGGTACATGGCGAATCCTGGAAAGGCTTACTGGAAAGCATTGAAGTGGATTCTAAGGTACATAAATGAGTCTTTGAATAGCGTCCTAATTTATGGTGGAGCCTTGGGTGAAGATAGTAAAGCAGCAATCAAAGGATATGTCGACTTTGATTATGCAGGTTATATAGATTCCAGAAAATCTATTTATGGGTATGTGTTCACTATGTTTGGGACAACAATCAGTTGGAAAGCAACACTTCAGAAGGTTGTTGCCTTATCTACCACTGAAGCGGAATATATCGCCCTAACTGAAGTTGTGAAGGAAACATTGTGGCTTGAAGGTTTTGCAAAGGAGCTGAAACTTCAATGTCGAGTTATCACTGTTAAATGTGATAGTCAAAGTGCAATATACCTGTCAAAGAATTCAGCCTATCATGAATGAACCAAGCACATTAATGTGAGGCTGCATTTCGTCAGAAGAGTAATCGAGCGTGGAGAAGTCCAAGTACTGAAGGTTTCGACAGATCATAATGTTGCTGATATGATCACCAAGACGTTGCCCAATTGCAAGTTTTTCCATTGTATGCAGTTGATACAGCTGCATGAAGAAAACTAGTTTCTTAATGTTATAGAGTTAGATCCAAGGTGGAGATTTGTGAGATATTGGATCGAACTCTAGTATGGTCGAAGTCTGTTCATGAGTAATGTGTGTTGTAGTCAAAGTTTGTTCTAACACGCATTAGTCAATATTACTAGGTTTGTTAGCATGTTTAATTGGGCCTTACTTGTAAGCCACATTGTTTAAGTTAACTTGTAATGAGTAATTGTTAAAAAAAACCATTAGGTTAGTGTGCTATTTTTTTCTTATAAATAGCATGCTAGTCTCTCATCTTGTATAAGGAAAAATAGGAAGATAAAATTCTAATTCAAGAGAGAGATGTTATTTTGTTATTCTTGTATACTTGTAATCTTGTTTGATAGAGAAAGGAAAGAATATCAGTTTATAACCAATCCTTGTTGTTTCTTCTTGTTCTTCTTACTTGTTTTCTTTGTTAACCATAACCCTTATGTGTTTCTTGAATATAAAGAAACCGTTTATATTTTGTTTCAAGACATTCTATTCATAACAACCTGGTTCTAAGTTATTTTGATTTCCTATGAAGTTTTGTCATAGTTCACCTTAGAATGAATGCCATGCTTGCATCCTCATTTATTATAGCTATAGCCATTATCAATTTAAAGGCTTCATCATATTATTAAAGGAAGTTTCTCTTCTTTATTCTGCATAGTTAAAAGAGTGTCAATCTCTCTCATTATATTAGTTGGCCTTCCATCAAAGATTTGAGCAATGTTTTAAAAACCGAATCGGAGTTGAACATGTGAAATGTTTGGTTCAATTGGTTCAATCAGTTAAACCTACCGTCGAACTATTGAAACACAATCATATTTACAACTTAATAAAATAAATAAATATTTTCTAAATTAGTTACAAATTTAATATAATAATATCATAATACATGTAATAATACAACATAATTGTACGGTTAATTTCAACCAATAGAATATAATACCCAAAATAAAATTCAAATAATTAAGAATATATAAATTAAATATTGTGAGATGTTGGATCGAACTCTACTATGGTCGAAGTCTTTGCGAGTAATGCGTGTTGTAGTCGAAGTTTGTTCTAACATGTATTAGTCAATATTGCTAGGGTTGTTAGCATGTTGAATTGGGCCTCGCTTGTAAACCCAATTGTTTAAGTTAGCTTGTAATGGGTAATTGTTAAAAAGCCCATTAGGTTAGTGTGTTATTTTATTATAAATAGGATGTTAGTTTCTCAATCTTGGCATAAGGAAAAATAGGAAGATAAAATCCTAATTTCAAGGGAGAGAGGTTATTTTGTTATTCTTGTATACTTGTAATCTTGTTCTAAGAGAAAGGAAAGAATAGAAGTTTAATAACCAATCCTTGTTGTTCCTTTGTTGTTTTACCTTGTCTTCTTTATTAACCCTAACCCTTGTGAGTTTCTTGATCATTAAGAAACCGTTTATACTTTGTTTAAAGGTATCTGATTCACAACAAATATGATAGAATTATAAAAAATAAACAATACATTGAACAATAATAAGTAAATTTAAGTTGAACGACTACAAACAAGTCATAACTAGACAACAACAAATAATATTTAATTGAACGAGAACTAATATTTGTTAAGTAGAACAAGTGTGAGTAGGCTAGTGTCCCGTTGAAGAATGTCAATGGCAGTACAAGTGTACGTGAAAGCAAGAAGAGCTTCTGCTTAAGGGGGGACATTATGGATAAACTCACACTTGAGGGGGAGTGTTGAGTATAACAAGTGTGAGTAGTATGAGTAATAGTTCGACATTGGCTAGGAATGTGGATACTTGAGCATTTATAAGTGGGAGAACTCACACACCTATCACGTTAAGGTTTTAGATAAATATGTGATATGTCTCTCACGAAAGTGTTGCTCTAGAAAAAGAAGTCCCACAAAGCAAAAATGCTCCCTAATGAAAAATCTCTCCAACAGTGGTATCACGAGCCTTTGGTTCAAGTGAATGACCGACTTACTTGTATCAAAAATATCCCCACAGGTGGTTTTGAGTGTCTCGTTGAAGAGTGTCAATGGCGATACAAGTGTACGTGGAAGCAAGAAGAACTTTTGATTAAGG